TCCCGCTCCTTCACACCCACTTCAATCCCGTCCCCGTGTCTCGAATCCTGCACCCAAAATATGTGCTCATACATTGCCAATCCTCATCCCCCCACCCTCTCCTGTGCCCTCTTCAGTGTGCCTCTCTCCTGAACCCTTTCCAGACCCGCATATCCGCGTCAAAAACCAGCGGTGTAGTTCTTCCTCCCTTCCGGCCGCCACCTCTCCCCCCTCCCGTACATGGCTACGCCACGTGACCACTCAGTCGAACCTACCAACTTCTCCCTTACTTCCAAACCTGGCGCCCAAGCCCGCACACAAAGCCCCCTTCCCTCCACTACCACCCTATCTGCGGCATCCAACGTTCTTTGCCGCAGCGGGGTAAAGACACCAGGAAAAATCGTTCATAGGCCGTGTATGACGCCAGCCTAGCCGAGTTTTAGTTGTTGCCCTGTGCTTGCTTCTGTGCTTTACTACAGCACAGTTTTCACCACTCTTCTCAGTGAACGCCCACAACAGATCGTTTAGCTTATTACTTCGAACGCTATCGTGTTAAATATTTTATTATCCTATCAGTGCGTTTTTTATTACTATAAGCTCAAAAATAAATTAAAGAAATATCTGTCACTGTATTGGGAATTCTGAACTATCACCAGTTTAATCAAGAAAGTTCCTGAATTACCTACAAAGAAAACCTTCAAAAATTTATACGACCAATTTTGCTGAAAGAGTTCTCAAATGCTATTCTTGGTTGATTTTATAAAAGTAAAACATGCACCTGCATTGACATAATTTCTATATAGGAGAAACAAATGAATACATCGCAGGCACTTAAGCAAGTTAGATGGACAAGATTCCTGTGTCGCAATGCTTTGGAGCTGATGAATGTGTAAAATACCAAGATATTTTCCATGAAACCAATCAGCGCTATTGTTGTGCCAATGCCGCCCACCAGTACCATTTTAAACCCCTTCAAATGCATAAGCTGTTGCCAGATGAATGAGCGTAGGTGCTCAAGGCGAAACATTTTTTAGCTTTTATTGTAAAAAGGCATTAAAATTGTCCGTCTCGAACAAATTGAACCAAAAAGGAACAAAATCGGCAAAAAAAAGTTAAACTGAGTATATAAGTAAAGTATTGACCTGCTGAATTAAACTTGTCAGCAAATCTCTATAAAAACTCTACTAGAAATGGTTTCATTTTTTGCCAATAACTGGACATACTACTGCGCTGATTTGGCTGTTTGCTTGGTTCTTGTTTATTCACATCGTCAAAGCGCGCTAAATGTGCTTTAAGATTACAGATCAAAAAATTTCGAGACGTGGTTGTTTCTTGCATGTTTTGTTCAAAATATCAAATTTTAACAAATGATAAGATCATTGGAGACGCGCACTAGGCGGACCCGTACGACCATGCATTTTTGCAGCATTTCGTTCTGTAGTAAGATCGACTGGAATCCCAGCAGCTAGAATTTGTGGTAAACTGGTCCTCAAAGCTCAGGAAGTTAATTGTGCAGTCACTTGCTACATGAACAGGGAATGTTCCGCTAAAATTTCAGTTTTCCAGCTTTTTTGGTTCCTAAGCTAGAGATTTTCCGGCCAAAAACTTTCACAGGCCGCACGTGAGAACCACGCACACCTGGATGCCGAATTTTAAATCTTTAAATTGTACGTGGACTAGGAACATTCCTTCAAAATTTCAGTTTTCCGACTTTCCTGGCTCCCGAGTTAACAATTTCCCGGAAAAATTTTCATAGAGCCGCACGTGGGGCCCAGATGTGCTTGAAGGTTGGTAAGGTGGCCTTGTGA